TTTAACACCTGCTTCCCATAACCCTCCTACATGAGGTGATCGTGGTGGTATCGTCAACCATTTTATCTCATTTTGCGAACAAAAGTCATCTATTTGCTTAATATGATATTTTTCTTTAAAAAGTTTATATACTTCATTCAAGCTATTTTTTGCTCCTATGAAATTTGTCGCGTTATCAGAATAAATTTTCTTAGGACATCCTCTTCGCCCAATAAATCTGTTTAGAGCGCCTACAAATGCAGCGGTTGATAGACTAGTTACTACTTCTAAATGAACCGCTTTACTAGCGAAGCAAATAAAAATGCAAACATAACCTTTATCTGTTCTGGAACCTCGTATTTTGTGATGAATTGTTATTCGACCAAGAAAGTCAATACCAATATTTTCAAATGGACGTGCTTTTGTTACTCTATCCTGTGGTAAATTTCCCATAAACTAATGTAGAGAACGCGGACTCAGTTTAAAACACTTGTAGCAGGAATGTACAATTTTAGTTGCTAACTGTTTACCACGTAAAGGCCAGTACTTTTGTCGCGTTAACGCTAATAGACCCTTTGGACCTACATGCAAAGGACTTTTGTTAATTTCAGTCATAATAAGTGATGTTATGGGGTCATTATATGGTAATAATATAGGGTTTTTAGCTTCAAGTGGAAGCGAAGAGTTTTGAATTCTACCTCCCACTCTGAGAATCTCTTTTTCGTCTAAAAATGGAGCAAGAGTAGTTAATTTTGATGATCTCTTTATTTCTTTTCGCATTTTTAGCACCTGAATGTCTTCTTTAAAATACTTTATTTGTGTCTGTTTTACGATTGTTTCTATTGCTAATTTTTGATACGAATGAAAATCTTTGATCTGTTTTTTTAATCTGATATCTATGAATTTCAGAATTATAGCGACAACATTCCTAAGAAAAGTAAAGCTATTTTTATGTTTTATGTCTACTATTATTCCATTTTTCCTGGATAGAGCATTAACTACAACATTTTTTTTTTTAACCCAGGAATTTCAATTTCCGTCTTTTCTATTTTTTAATGCTGCCAGTCTCTTCTTTAAGAAAATTTGGTCCATTAAACCAAAAACTATTTTCAATAACCTCATTTGGATATAAAGGGTGAACACACCAAAACTGCGACACTTTGGGAAGCCTATAACTTACCCAAAACGAATTCAATATTTTGAAATTCAAATACCATAAGCTGACCACATGATCTTAGTTGGACGTAGAAGAAATTTCATTTGAATTTGATTCCTAGTTGAGTCAAAAATGGCAACCGAGTTAGAAACGAGACAAACCATTTTGCACGAGTTTATAAACGATCCGGCCTTTAGTACACGTAAAATTGCTAAAAAATTAAAGATTGCACTATTCGACAGTTTGCAGGGTTTTAATCGGTACAAATAAGGCCTGGCAGTTACGAGAAAACCAGAAAGCGGGGGTTAGCACGGTCAAAGTGATAAAAACAGTGCTCGGAAGGTCCTCAGCGCGTTTTCGCGAAATCCGAAGATTTTGTCGCGTTGTGTTGCAAAATCCGTACGCAGATCGCAGTTTTTCGTACAAAAGTAAAGCGGAAAGCTTCATTGAGATGTTCTACAGATCAAACAGCGCCAGACCGAGGCGCAAAATAGAATGTTACAGCGAAATCCCGCATTCGGAAGTTGTATGAATTTTAAATTAAAAAATACAACTGCATTGTTATGGACTACGAAACCTACTGCTATAAAAATTCAAAATATATTGCCGGTCAAGATTTTTATACTGGTGCAAGTCGTCAAGATGCCCCTGAAAGTTGTAAGCTGAAAATGAAGTCCAAATTTCCAAAAAACCACATGGTTTGGCAAGCCTTTTTTCCCATCCGGGACAATGAATGATCAAGTTTATCGGGATGAGTGCCTCAAAAGGCGCCTTCTGTCATTTATCAATAGATAAGGAGTAGGCCACTGGTCTAGGCGGACGTGGGAACCTGCCACTATGCCAAGGACACATTGCCGTGGTATAATGCAAATAACATCAATTTTGTACCTCACGACTGCAATCCACCCAATAGCCCAGAGCCACGTCCTGTTGGGGAATATTGGTCAATTATCAAAGAAATCTTGCAGAAAACAGGTGAAACAGTGAAAAATATTGAAGAGTGCAAAACAAAGTAGTTGTGTGCATCGCGTAAAGTCGATGATGCAGTCGTGCAGAACATGATGGCGCGTGTGCGATGAAAATACCGATCACTTGCATATGGAGCAAATAATAACTAATATTTTAACATTTTAATAACATCTAAACTTCCAAGTTATATAATACAAAAAAAAGACGTGAGTACTAGGTACTCATGAAAACTGATGTGTATACATATGCGAACGGCAAAGCATAAAAGTACGTTTACATATAAATATAATCTCAATCAAAGCTCGTAAGCTGTCAAATTGGTTGTGCTGGTTATTCACACAACTCGAGGAAAAGTTAAACTTCTTCTCTGTGCCACCGTGGTCACTTTTCTTTTGCAACACATACATATTAGGCCATTTAAATATATTTTAACTGAATATTTTATTAAAAATACCTATTTTCCTTACTAGCGTAAATTTTTGTTTACTTTAACATTTGACATTCCTCCTCTTCTTCGCAAGTCTAATCGATAAAACTAGGTTGGACACCAAAAAGTTATCGGTTTAATCTGAGATATTTTTAATTATAATTTTGAATGGCTAATCTCTTTTTCTAATAACAGATTAGGGAGTCAAGCTCGAAAATTAGGATAATATTTTTATATGTAAAGCTATTATTAAGCGATTCAGTTACATACATACAAATGTAGGATAGGTTAGAAATTAAACATTAATTTCACTTAATTTTATTAATTTTGCTGATTTAATATTTTTATTAATTTTCATTTTTAATTCTTTTAATACATGACATTATCGGTATGATTGATAAAATATACTTGTATATACTTGTGACTCAAGGGCGTTAAAATATCTTGGAAACACCGCATATAGGTAGATTTTCAAGTTTTATGCGGCAAAAAATATTTTATTGCCTCTATCTACTCAAAATTGTTTATCAAATGTAAAATTGAAATAATTTGTATTACAGATAGGTTATATTAATAAAATATATATATTAGCCAATCATTTACTATTTAAATATATTGACTACCTTTATTTATAAAATGTGTGTACACTATCATTGGTTAATAAGTTTTCGCTTTCAGAATCTTCGCTGGCCTCAAACTATTCCTTTGTCACATCTTTGACAACGGATTTAGAGGGTAACAGCAGCTTTATTGTGTCTGGGGAAAACGATTTGATATTTTTTCTTTTTTTGGTTATGAACCGAAATACTGCTTAAAAACGAGTCCGAGCTCACCAACAGCCGGTTATATATGTCACGGTTACATACTTCACGAGAAAACT